AAATCAAAATTATAAACATTTTACTAAATTAATGTGAGAAAAATGAATGGAAAATTACTTTACTCTGATTAACATGGAAAGATAAAAGTTGTTTCATTTAATGATCAAACATTATGTACTCTAATAGTATTTAAGTCTGTTTTATATCATCTGATTTGGAATAGCTTTTTGATATTGTGAATGTATTAATTTCAGTTATTATTAATGATTGAACTTAATTTTAAAATATTATTGATAGTAATTACATTCCACTTTAAAATCTTTGAAAAGAGAAATTTTGTTGCAAAAAAACATATGAAAATAAACTGAGGCTATGATCACAAGTATAGTCTTTAAATAATTTTTATAAAACTAATTTAAACTGTTTTACTATTAAATTAGCATGTAGTTATTTTATAGATTTTTTTGTTTTTTACTCTTTATGCCTTTTGCTAACTAAGAGGGCCTTTCTTTAAACCCATTGTGGTTCAACCAGGGGTGGCTGGGTTATAAAGAATGGGATCTGATGTATCCTGGATAGACCATCCCTTGAAACAACTTCTCGCAGAATCATTGGGAAGGATAATCAACACACTAGAACCTGTTTTAACTAAACTTTGTTCTTACTGGGATATAAAAAGATTCTAGTGTGTTGACCATTCCTTGAAAAATTCCTGGTTTTTTTTTTTTGACCTGCCTGGATTCAATCCCAAGTCCATCAGAGCAGTAGGCTGATGTCTTAACCATCTTTGCCATCTGGCTTAGTACAGATAAGTTAGCAAGCCTTATCCTTATACACACACACTCTCTCTCTCTCTCAGATGCATCTTTTTATAGTGCACTAGAAGGAGCTGCTTTTGTTTTCTGTTAAATTATTTATAATAAATTTGTGTAAAATATTTTTTAAAAAAATATAGCCAACATTAATAGAAAAATTGGTAAAAATAAAGATACAGTTTATCTTTGTAATAAATATAGTTGTTTATTATAAAATAATTAATATAGATAGATACATTTATTTAATTTTGTTAATAAAAATAAATAAAATAAAAATAAAAATATTAGCTATATTAATAAAGTTAAAGCTTCTCAGCACCTTTTTGTATCATATTAAACTATTAAAAACTAAATGTGATTTGAAAAAGTAAAATGTTTTTAAATGTTATACACTGTTACTCCTGTTACAAAGTAATATATTAATACATAATATTTTTCTGTTGTAAATACATAAATATAAAAATCCTTGTATCTCTGTATTTACTTTAGGAAAACATATATATATATATGTTTTA